CTAGGTCGGGCTTCGACCTAGGCTGGGTTCGGGTTAGTCAATGAACCCGCTCTAAAATTATATATGTATGTATGCATTTATGCAAATAAGTATACATATATGATTATATGTATGTATTGTATATTAGATCTGTTCATAGGCCGGGTAGCCCGACGGGCCGGCCCGGCCCTCGGACAGGCTTGAACACACATTTGAGCCCATGGGCTTGACCTCGAGCCTAAAAGCCCGAGCCCAACTATGTTGCGGGCCAAGCTCGGGATTTGTTAAAAAAGCCTGGCCTGACCTATAGGTTAAATCAAAAAACCCTAATATCCTAACCCCTCTTCTCATTCATCTCTTTCTTGTCTAAGCCAATTAGCCGAACCTCTTCTTAGTTTTCATAATGACTCACAAGTCACAACCTCACACTCTCAGGCAAACACAGAACCGACGCAACCAGTAAACTCCTGCAGACCGGCGTGAGTCCTCTCTCTTTCTCTCTCGTTCCTCTTCTTAGTTCTCACTTCTTCTCTCTCAAATTTCAGATGCGAACTCAGGCACCGGCGAGGTGGCGAACACAGGCATCGGCAGCGGCAATGAGTCCTCTCTCTCTCGTTCCTCTTCTCACTTCTTCTCTCTCAAAATCTCAGACGCGAACTCAGGCACAGGCGAGGCAGTGAACACAAGCACCGACGGCGGCGGTGAGTCCTCTCTCTCTCTCTCTCTCAGATGCGAACTCAGCACCGGTGAACACAGTCACCAGCGGTGAGTCCTTTCTTCTGTTAGGTCAGGCTTCGGGCTCGGGCCCGGGCTTCAGGCTTTTTATTAGGGTTGGGCTCGGGCCCATGTTGTAGGCCCGTTGGTCGGGCTGAGCTCAGGCTCGGGCCTAACAAAGTCCTGTTTATGAAGAGTAAAAGCTCGGCCCGGCCTGGCCCATGAACAAGTCTATTGTATATATCTAAATATGTATGCAAATATGTATATATATAAATATGTATACAAATATATGTATATATGTAAATACATAGCTATATATGTATGTATGAATATCAGCAAGGTTATTTTATTAAATTGATTAAAATTGGATTAGTACGATTTGATTACAAGAGTACTCCCCACATACACAAAGTAAATTATAAAGATGCCCAATAAAATTGCTGCCTTGTGGCCCCTTGTTTTGATAGGGCATCAGCCAACCCATTTGCACTCCTAACCCACTTGAAATCAGCATTCAAGTCCTTTGCCAGCCTTTCAACTTCCTTGAAAATGTGTTTGGGAGTCCAAGGAATTTGTATATTGCAAGACACCCATGTGATAATTACTTTTGAATCCCCTTCCACCTCCACCTGTGACCTGTCTAAATCCCAATTGCTTTGCCAACCAAAGGCCATGCAACAGTGCCAAAAGCTCTGCCTTCACAGAGTTAGTACTGCCAATTGGTCCGGAAAATAAAGCCAAAATCCTGCTCTCCGAATTTCTGATTGCTCCACCTATTCCTGCCAGTCCTGGGTTACCCAAGTTGCTGCCTTCAAAGTTCAGTTCAATTTTATTGCTTTCCAGAGGTTTCCATTCCAATCTTACTTCTTTTGTTCTAGAGGACTGTGTTACTTCCTTCCAAATTCTTATAATGTCAATGACTGAGTATAACTGGAAGCAATCCAAGGTCCTAACCCAAAAAGCAACCTTTACTTTTATGCTATGTATTACCTCCTTGACAATCCTACTCTTTCATTAAAGATTCGGTTATTCCTCTCTTCCCACACCACCCAAGCTATCACTGCCTTAGTAGCTTTCCACATTATTCTCCCTCTCTTCTTTTGTTGCCTCAGGAAGCTTGGGTTGAAGATATCCAACACCTCTTGAGGGGGAACCCACCCGCAGCCAAAGAGAGCAGAAAATCTCACAAAGGACAAGAGATTAATAAATGGGCAAGGGTCTCTCCATTTTCGACAAGACCCCCCCTTTCAACTAATGTTATGCATCTTTATTCTTCTTAATATAAAAGATTTTTATTAAAAATAAAGAAAAAGTGAGATCCCCCCCTTCCTCTTCATCCTCCTCCCCTTCCTCCTCCTAACCCCCCCCCCTCCTCTTAAGGAGGCTTACGCCTCCTTGTGTTTGGGAGGCTTACGCCTCTTGCGTTCTGAACTACGCCTCACGTCTCTAGGTAGTGGAATGCCTCGCGTCACGCCTCCACGTTTTAAAACATTGGAATATAGTAGCAAATTCCTCAAGGTACAAGCCTCTAGTACAAGAAGAATATCCTTGACATAACAAAGAAATAAGTTAAACTTTAATGGTATCACACTTGGCAATCCAGGGCCATCTGGAATAGGAGTCCTAAGAGATGGAGGAAGACTCTTAGCCCCTATTCGGGACCAATAGGAGTGGGAGACTCATTAAGAGCGGCAGTGATGGCCCTCCAAGGTTTAACATTAGCAAATCAATTGGGTCTCCATCAGATTGAAGCAGAAGGAGATTCAAAATTAGTAATAGGGTGGATGCAGGAAGGCAGCTTAGGGGTCTAGACCTATAGACAAGCAATGAGAGAAATATGGAAGTTGGCAAGGAAATTGATGTCAATTTTAATTGGGTTAGAAGATCAGTTAATGGTATGGCTAAACAGCAGTCAACTAGGGCTGAGTTGTTTTGGGCAGCATTGTAATTGTGGGATCTCGCACTTCCTTATTTGGGTGTTTGTAATTGTTTACCTCTATAACTTAATGATTGAAGTTACTATTTCCAACAAAAAATGAAAATTTGAGAGAGGGAGGAGGTTATGGTTGTGATGAGAACGGTAGTAAAGGAAAATATCAGGATGGAGAAGGTAAGAGCTGATGGCCGGGGTTGATTTGTGGGATGTCATGCGATGGGATAGGGACAAGGTTCTAAGTATCAATACACATGAACATGGGTATCGGGTGCTTTGATACTATAAAACACTATTTTGTTTACTTTTTTACTCTGATATTCTCACAAGGGGTCAGTTTTAAGGGTATTCAACACTTAGAAAACTAAGTTTCTAGAAAGGACTTAAGAAAGGTGTTTTGGTCAGCCAAAGATACGAAATGATATGCCCAATACAAGGCGTGTCATATCAACACTTTAAACCTTGGATGGGGAAAAATGTGGTATTACCGTTCTCAATTCTTGGGAAGTGGGATAAAAAAAACAAAAACATCTTGTAGCATGCTTAAGAGTTAATTTTAGACCCGTGATCCATTAATAAATTATTAATTAGTAAAAAATAATAAATACTTTAATTAAATTAACTAATAAATAAATTAAAAATAATTAATTAATCAAAACATTATTAAATAATTAATAATAAAATCTAAACAATAAAAAGTATTATTAATTAATAAAATAATTATGAAATAGTTAAATAATTAATATATAATTATTACTATTTATTTAATGATCACACCATCCTCACAACCCTTATAGCCATGCATTAGGTATATCTCCCCATGAATAAAAAAAAATACAAGTACAGAGATACTCTTAATGCACGGCTGCAAGGGCTGTGAGCACAGTGTGAGGACGAAACCTGAACTCCCCGCCAAGGTTCAAAGTATTGATACACTTGATAACCTGTTTACAGGTGTTTTCGGGAACCGTTTCTTAATGAATAATATATAACTAAAATTTGAAAAAAAAAACAAAACTAAAAAACATAGAAGGTGCATGGTTTAAAGCACTGATACACAAAGGTGTATCGATACTTTGAACCATGCTCCCCACCAATGTAGGGTCTGGGGAGGGACAGATGCACACAACCCTACCCCTATAATCGAACAATGAAATGTTAAAATTTTCTACCCATTTTCCCTTCCTCATCCCATCCCATCCCACCAAATTCTTCACTCAAACCAAGCATGGCCTTATTGAACATGGGCCTTAAATCCCTGACTCATATCCTCCCTTCTCCCTCTCCTGATTGACAACAAGAAGAGAAATAGTAAACAGGAGAAGCAAAATTAAGCAGAAGCACAAAGAGAAAACTCCCAAATGTCTCGACGAAAAAACCAAGATAAAAACAATAAGAAAATATAGAAACCCATTATCATGGCAAAGATAAGGCCCAATTATAAATCTCTTCTCCCATGATATAATGATGTAAGATTCAAGGAGCAATAACTCTCATTGACCTAATCATCACCTAATAAGGTTCAGCCTCAACCTCCGAAGTGTTTGAACCCTAAAGTGTGCATCTACCTAAAACCTTATTTTCCTAGATAATTGCATGTCCTTTCTCTTTCTATCTTCTATCAACAAGGGATTTGCAACAAAAAATTTAGGGCTCATTTGGTTCACAGGAATAGGGGTCTGAAATCGGAATTGTAATGGGCCATTTCAATTCCAACTGTTCAGTTGGGCGGAATCAAAATCACATTCCCATTCCTGGTGGAATGGCATTCCCCCATATGAAGGAATGGCCATTCCCTCCCCCTCCCTTGGGAATGAAATCCCATTCTAGCTGATTCCAATTCCCATTCCGATTCTTGTCTGAACCAAACAGACTATGGGAATAGACCATTCCAATTCCGGTTCCAAAGGATTTTGATTCTGATTCCGACTGCAAACCAAACAGATATGGGAACAGACCCTTAGTGGTAATTGTTATTGAATGGATAACAGTCTTTATATGGCTTGTGCCAACAGTCTTCATGAGACAAGGTTCTAAAAAGTGATGTTTAAATTTCTTTGCAATTTGTGCCAACAGTCTTTATATAGCTCAAAATCTGAATCAAGATTTGAGAACATGCATCCAAATCAGTAAAATTCATCTAAAAGCAAAAGAGGTACAACTAGTGAAATTGAACCTAAAGATTGAGCAAATATAATTTGCAAAGCCAGATGAAAATTGATACTTCTTTTCAAGATCGACCATTGAAAACGTAAACTAGAGAAAAAAAAGTTTAACAAGATAAGGAAATGCTAATGCAAATATTGATAAAGAAAGAGAAAGAAAAGAGAAATAAAAGGGAAGTACACATTAAGAAAAGCTTATCACTTACAGATGGTAACATCATTTGAGAGTGGGTGGAAGAAACAAAACTCTTGAGCTTTGAATCCTTGATCCAACAATAATGAAACATGTCTTCAACAGAAAAAAAAAAGGAAAAAGGGAATTACTTCATTAAACTGGAAGTTTATTGTTGACTAAACTACTACACCAAGAATGTGATATTCAAAATAGATTTCCCTACTAAAGAAACCAAACTACTACATAAATATGGAAATGAGATGATGAGACCAGTTTTGTAACGTGATTTATTACTCTCTTGTACAATTAACACATTTTCCAAAATAATGGTTTAAAGAAATAAAATATAAAGGAAGGCCCTTATCCATCAACACAGTATAAAAATATTGAAATTTAATCAATAACAATAAAACAATGCAAAAAAACAATATTTGCAGATTCTCAAACTGGATGAAGAACAAATAGTTACCAAGAAAAGGGGAATCTGTAAGTGGAATATCAAATGTCAAAAGCCCAAAGGGGCAAAAGTTCTTCTCAGTAGGAAGCTACAAAACTAATAAGACTATATATCCGCCATCACTATATCAAATATTTTCAAAGGATAACTCAAAGGGCAATCATGTAATTAAGGGATAATACATACCGTGCAGAGTCATTGATTAATGCAAATGGAGTAACACAACCTAGGGGCACCTTGAATAACAAAAAATACAATGTAAAATAGTCAGAAGGGAAAGTTTGTATACACCAAAGCATAAAAAATAGATTATGATGTATAAAAGATTTAAGAGACAAATTCTGTTCCAACACTTTTTAAGAAGGGATCTCAGTTCCTTATGCTTTTTCTTTTTTTTTATCAGTAACAATCATGAATTTTATTATCTGTTGGGAAAGAATGATGCAAAAAAAGTAAATGTACCAAGACTAGCCCTTGCTACCAAACTTATTTGTACTATATCTTCATTTTCTGTGTTACAATTAGACCCCCTATGTGACCATTCCCCACAGTTACTTCTATTTACCCCTTATGCTTTTTTTTCTTTTCACATATACCATTATCACTTCTAAACAAGGGATTTCATATTCATTTATCAAAAAAAAAAAAAAAAACAAGGGATTTCATATTAAAAAATTCCTCATCAGCACCAAAAAAAAAATACCCAGGAAATATTTCCAAATAATAATAATGTGAATAAAAAGGACAGAAACTTCATAATGTGCTTTCTAGGTAAAATAATCAAATAACTAGTTTCTTAGAAATCCTGGTTATCAAGCAGAGAACAATATTCTGTTCATTTATATTTTACCGTAAAGGTTTTGCCTCTTAAGTTAAATAATACAAATGCATAAACCTGTGGGCCTGCCCATTAAGGTCACAGCTTTTTCTTTGCCTTTGCAAGCAAATAAACAAGACAAGCATCTTACCATATTTTTTTGATAATATCCTACTCATATATAATAGCTTGTCTGTTTAGTCCCATCCATGTATGTATCAAGAAGAGCTGTAAACATAACTACTTTATATGGAACAGAACAAGTGGTAGTCAAGATAGAAACCATAATGTTAAATGTCTGGAATCAATATGCAACTAATGCAAAAGCCATCACCTCATCCACAAAGTGATGAAACTAGGAATGTGTTAAACAATTTGAAACCTTTATAATTGGAATAACAGAAACAACAGTAAGAAAGTTAATTAGATGAACGCTCTATGCAAAAGGACAAATATGTTTTAACACAAAGATCTCCCTTAATTCAAATTCTGATCTTGGTGCCTATAACAGTTAAAAGGAGGCTAGCTCCTTTGAAGCAGAAATGTTAGAGAAGAACCCATGAACTCAGGTGTTATCTCCTGACCAATATTCCATATTTTATTATTTTTCTATTTCAGTCAACTAAGCATCTATGCATAATAAAAAAGGCAATTATCCAGTTCTAGTCACAACTATCTGGGGTCATGGGAGGGTGTACTGGATACAGACCTTTGGCTTTCTTATAACAAAGCAGCTGCTCAAAGAGGTTTCTGCACATAAATCATAACACTTATAATAAATCACCACTTAAGCTTTAAATTGATTGATCTGTTTACTTTGTTTTATTTTTTGAGCTGGCCCTGAGTATGGATCTTCTTATTTTCTCCCCATTTATCTTTTATTAATCAATTATTGCTCTCTATTTACTGTTATAGTTTATTGCAACTTTTTTCTATCCTTTATTGTTCTCCACAACTCTTCTTCGTTTACTGCTGTTTAGTTACTATTTACAGTCCAACCACCTTAGTCTTATTTTTTACACCCCAAAACAGCCCTCTCCCAATATGAACCTTCTGTATAGTACACATAAAGACCTCCATTACAGTCACATATCCAATTGACCAGCCCTCTTAAACCCTAATGTCAGTAAACCTTCTTTTCCAAAGTCAAAGCCTGATTTTTTTTTTTTGATAAGCAAAGTCGAAGTCTGATATTTACTTCAAATATTACTAAGTTACTTGAAATCCCTTAAAATTTCTCCACACATCCAATATCACCAATTGTTCAAAGTATCCCAAATGGTTTTCTTTTTTATTGGCAAATTGTACTGTATTGCATTAACAGAAAATGAATTATTTACAATGTGCCATGCAGCCCTGAGACAGGGCTACAGCCTGCCCAGCCCATTACATTTTAGTATTTTTTTAGATTACAAGTCTCCCCCATGGGAGATGGTTCCCCAAAACAGCCGTTCCCTGTGAGTTCCTTGTTTAGATGAATAGTCAACCACACCATCTGCTTGAACATCAATGAACCTTTCACCTTGATGGGTGAACCAGCCCATAGCCATTTTGGAGTCACCCTCAACCATTATGTTGCTGTAATGTAATGCTTTTCCAATCCTCAATCCTTGATGTGTGATCCACATAAGGGTAGCACATTGGTTGAAATCCCTGGACCTGTTCTCAAACTTTACTGTGAATGATTTGTTGAGAAGACGGAAAGAAATAGCAAGTTCTGCCCAGGTTAAAAGGGTCATAAGTCCTTCTTGGGTTCCCCCTCCTTCTGGTTATATAAAGTTGAACTTCGATGGCAGTAGCATTGGGAATCCAGGGCTATCAGGTATTGGGGGAATTTTCAGAAATGAGGAAGGGAATGCTTTAGCCCTTTTCTCTGGCCCAATTGGTGAGGGTGACTCTCTTAGGGCTGAGATATTAGCAGCCTTGGAAGGGATTCAAAGGGTAAGAGACCTGAATATTAGGAGGCTGATTATTGAAGGTGACTTGGAGGTGGTGGTAAACTGGTTTAAGATAAACCTGGAATATGGAAATACAGCAATGAGAGGAAAAAGTTCAACTGGTTTGCAAGGGATTTTGAGATAAAGTACAGCTGGGTGAAAAGAACTGCAAATTCCTTTGCTAACAGGCTAGCTAAGCAAGGGGTGAATAGGGATTCTTTGTTTTGGCCTTATTGCTAACTCTATACTTTTTCTTTTCTTTGCTTATGGGGGAGTTAAGACAGATTACCTCCCTCCACTTGTTTGTAATATTTTCTTAATTGAATTCAATGAAGATTTCTGTTATTGATCAAAAAAATAGGACCTGAATATAAGGCTAATGCATTGCCATCCATCCCTAATACCCCCCCTCCAATGCCAAAGATTCTAGGTTTACCAAAGTTGCAACCATCAAAGTTTAGCTTGATGAAGCTTGGTTCTGGTGAGGTCCAATCCTTTATCCAGATCATTCTAGCTGTAGAGGAATGTGCCACATTGTACCAATTCCAAAACAGGATCTTAATGATGAGTTTAAACTTTAAACTCCAATCCATCTACAAAAGATTATCTAAGTGATTATGGAGAAAAATTATACTTGCAGTGGGAAAAATAGATGAAATTTTGAAAAAAAAAGATCTATTGGATCAGTGTTTAAATACATAAAAAGAACTTTCAACAGCACAATATTCTGATTTTATACTACTGTAAAGAACATGAATTGTTTTCCTGCTTCAGACTTCCACTTAATCCATATGGAGAAATACAATAACAGTGATCCCATTATTTTCACAAAGTAGAAATGAAAGATTAGGGGACTTCCACTTCAAATACTCTTCTTTTATGCAATCTACTGAGTCAAATATATGACCCAGTAGCTATGATGGTCATTCAGCATCCCTCAAATATGGAGGAATGGGATTAAGGCTCACCATGATAAGGTCAGTGGGCCTCACATGCACCCTGCTCTGTCCCCTCTTGATCTTCCCTGTAATGTGTAATATGTAATAGTAATACCAGAAAAAACTAGGAATTTCGGTTTTCCAATCATTTCCACCATACTGTGGATTTACAACATGAGACAACTCAACAAGTATATCAGAGAACCAAGTATATCTTTCTTACGGTTGATAGAAAAGTTAATAGAGAAGAGGAGTGATCCTCATATGGTGTTCATTGATCTAAAGGAAGCATATGATGGAACCCCTAGAGGAATAATATTGTGGATCTTGGAAAAGAAAGGGGTGCCAACTAGGTATATAGACCTAATTAAGGATATATATGAGGGTGCAATACCCAAATGTTAGAACACCTGCCAGAGAGACATCAGATTTTACAATAACTATGGGTCTCCATCAAGGTACAGCACTTAGCCCTTATTTAATTGCAATGGTCATAGATGAACTGGCTAAACAAATTTAGGAGGTCCCATGGTGTATATTGTTATCTGGTGGCATTGTTCTAATTGATGAAACTAAAGAAGGATTAGTGCAAAATTAAGATTATGGACAAATACCTTAGAAACAAGATATTTTAAAATAAGTAGGACTTTTTTTAAATAAAAAATAAGTAGGACTAAAACAGAATATATGATATGTAAATTCAATAAAAATAGGAATGCAAATCAGGATACATTTAGGGTTAGAGACCAAGACATTAAGAGATAACTCAATGTGACCTGTTTTGGTAGCTTGGTTGGATAATATAAAACAACGGTGAGCAAAATGAAGGGGTGCATCCAAAAATCTTATGTGATAGGAGAATACCGCTTAGATTAAAAGGAAAATTCTTTAAAACAGTTATAAGGCCAGATATATTGTATGGAGCGGAGTGTTGGGCAGTCAAGAATCATGTCCAAAAAATGAATGTGGCAGAAATGCATATCTTGAGAGGGATGAGTAGAAAAGCTAGGAAGGATAGGATTAGAAATGAAATTATTCGAAGGAACCTAGGAGACATGAGTAGATCCAATGGGTGATAAAATGAGAGAAAGTAGACTAGATGGCTTGGTCACATGCATGGAAGACCTTTGACAGCACCCATAAAAATTTATTTTGTTGCAAGTTGAAAGGGCAATGGTAGAGCTAGACTACAAAGGACATGAATTGAAGTAGTAAGAAATGACTTAAGAGATAACAATTTAACAATGGATATGGCATTAAATAGAACAGAATGGAGAAACAGGATTCATGTAGCCAACTCCATATAGTTGGGATAAGGCCTGGATGATGATGATGATGATGGAGAAACAGGATTCATGTTCACACTTCACAGGGTAATAATTAAGTTTCCATGATTCAAATGGAAAAAATATATGCTTCAAAAAGGATTGAAGCTAAGAAATGCAACCAAGTGTCCAGAAATAGTAAAGGGATACACCTACCTGAAGTATTTCTTGCAAAGATTCTTCAGGAGCCATTCTTAGACCTCCTTTTCCCAAACCAAGCCGCTGGGATAAAACTGCTCAGCTTTAAAGAAAGAAAGAATGATTCTCATGAATACCGACAAATTAGAAACGAACACATTGAGCAAAAATTAGTTAAACAATTTATATTCAAAAACCTATTGACCTCCATTGATGCATATTTAAGATTGTCATAAAACTTAATTGTATAAAAAAAGAGCATACCTTTCAAATCCACTGTTGTGCCCGCTAGAGCAGAAACAATATAAAACCTATGCTTTTTGTCCTACACCATGCACAATAGGAAGAACCTGATCATGGCTGTAATAAAGCTGAGAAAGAAAAGCATACCACTATAGAAATAAAAATGAGACTATCATTCAAAAGATAAAATATCTTACCTTCAAGAATAAATTTTTACTTAATCCACCTCCCAAATGCCCAACATATTTTGCCTAATGAAAAATATTGGTATTATTGCACAAAATATAGCTGAATAAAAGAAAAAAATAAACAATTTCTACATTTCTTTACCTGAGCTTCAACTGTCAAGACAACAGGATGATCATAGTGTGCAAAATCAATTTGAAGTTCCTACATTCACACAAGGAATAAATCATTTAAACAAGTTAGAATATATGTGCCAAGATAACTTGGAAATCACAATTTGAAGTCAGAACCCTTCCTAGAATGGCATGTGGACCAAAATATCAACAACTTTTTTTTCAGTTTAAAAAGAAAGCAGAGATTATAACTATACAATGATGACAAGACAAAAAGAATGTACAGTATAAAGAAAAAGCACAAGTGATGCACAAGAAAATTTCATAATATAAGGTATTTTCCCAATCTCGACAGAAATGGGCAAACTTGAACTGTCTAAATCCCTTGAATCTGCCCATCTAAAGAGCTGCCCCTAAACCTTACCAGTCGCATGCTCAACCATGCAACTCTTTCTAGCAGCATTTTATTCTTCTCCTTTCATAGACTCCAGTATACACCCAAAGGGAGGAAATTAGATAATATTATGTGTACCATGCCATATTCTCTAGATAGCCAGCCCATAACCATCATAGGTATGTGGCAAGGGATTGCCCACATACAGCCAAAATGATTGTTAAAATGCTGCAAAACCTGCAAGGGAGAACTGACAAGTGTACTAGTATGTATAGGACTGATTCATCAAGGTCATTACATAGAAAGCATGAATTCCAAACAATTTTTCCTTGATTCCTCTAGATATGTAGTTGTATGACGAGAGGACTTTGTCAAAAAAATTTGTTTACATAAGGAAACATTTGTCAACGAAAAGAGGGAGCAGTATGTGGAGATGTTTCAGAGCAGCCACCCTATGGACAAATTGGGAAGAAAGAAATGCAAGAATCTTCTATAATAAGGAGAGATCCTTTAAAGAAGTTAAGGAATGTATTTTAACCAGGGCTATTCACTGGCTGAAATCCTTGGCTTTTTACAACTCTTTCTCTTTTGATGACATTTGGAGGAATTAGGCTAAAGGTGCACACACTTCGGTTCATAGTTGTCAAGGTGATGCCTAGGCAGGCGCCTAGGCGACAAGGTGCCCTTTGAGGCTCGCCTCGCCTAATCGCCAATTAGTTTTGTACTATGTATTGTAAAATACTTTTTTATTCTTTATTTTTTTACATTATAATTATAAAATAGGCACTATTAAACTAAAATATTCATTTTGTTTGTTTATATACTAATTTTTTTATTATTTTCTTATTTGTTAGGATTTAATCAATACAAACATTGCTAAATGCTGTATTGAACCCTCAAAGACTTTAAAACCTGAACCAATAAGTAAGGAAGAACTTAAAATTTTGTCTAATCAACACATTTTCTACTACTTTCTTTTCTTCTTTTCCTATAACAAAAATAAGGGTTCAGCCCCTATGTTTTTTGAATTTTCTTTTCCTTATTTTTTTCTTCTCATGAATATGTTGATTTTCTATACTTTAACATGAACTCTATAGTTTTCTTATGAAAATTATGAATAATTATTAAGGAAATATGGCTATGGTACCTAGGGAACTACCCTAGGATCTATGTTTTCTATATTAAAAAATCCATCGCCTAGGCGACTATGCAACAAGGCGCCCCCCTGACACCCAGCCTTGCCTTAACGCCTTGAAAACTATGCTTTGGTTAGGAAAACCAGGGCTGCAACAGTTTGGGTAACTCCTCCGGAAGGGGTTATTAAATTAAACTAAATTTTGATGGAAGCAGTCAGAGTAACCCAGGACTGTCTAGCATAGGAGTAGTCATGAGGAATAAGAATAGCAACATCATATCCTTATTCTCAGGCCCGGTGGGGATAGGGGATTCTACAAGAGCTGAGTTGTTGGCTACAGTACAACGAATTCAGATTGCTAATCAACTAGAAGTGGAGAACTTATTAATTGAAAAGGGGATTCTAAGGTGATTGTGAGTTGATTATCAAATCCAGACTCAGTTGTTCGGAGTTATAGGGATCACATTAAAACAGTTAAATGTTTAACAAGGCACATATCATGTAGATACCAGTGGGTGGGTAAGGAGGCAAATGCTTTGGCTGATTATCTTGCTAAACAGGGATCTGCTAGAGATCGGTTATTTTGGGCAGCTTTATGATCTTTTTTCTCTGACCACTTGTAATGTTTAGGGGAGGCTGCATCCCGTGCTTCTCCAAAAGATATTTGTAAAGTTTCATTCGGCTTGATTAATGAAATCAATTTTCAATTATCAAAAAAAAAATGGCATATCTGGGCATGACATAACTTCCATTAAAACCTGGTATCTTCACCCTACACCACAGATTGAAGAAATGATCTATCCAAGAAACTGCATTTTCATAAGTATCTCAGATCTATCATTCCTCATAAAGAGGATAAATTTTGCGTCTACTCAATTCTCAAGACGAAGCATTATTTGGTTTGCCTTGTAATCACGAAATCTTCACCTAAGACAGGGACACCAAGCCATCCATCGCCACCCATCTCATGGAATGACTGGTGAAAGCCCATTCTGTTGACATCAAATCTAACTGTTGGGACTCCACTCCACACATAAAGGCATTCCTCCTATGGAATTGTCTTCCCAGAATGTCAAGCTATGTCCCTTCCCCATAAGAAGTATTTACATTAAACAGCAAACACTTCCATAATCTTGAGAAAGCCTCCCCAAACACTATTGGCACTGATGGCACCTAAATTCTCTCAACATAGATATACCCACATCTACAACTGGTTATAATGGATCTACTCTGTATTCCAATGTTTTAAAGGGCATTTCAGGTGTATGCCTGGAAGCACCTCCAGACGAAGCACACTCAAAACGCCCTGAACTGTACGCTGGAGGTGTGGATGCCTCTAAGGTGTACAATACAAATGCCTTTTGCATGAGGCATACACCCATGGAATGCCGCATGTGCCTCATTGGAGGGGCTTGATCCAGCACAAAACCAAATTTTGGGGGTCAAACTGCTAGCCCATATCAAGGGGTTATGATGATGGTGAATTGTATATGATCCATTGTTTATCCAATTAATAAAAATTTGAACATTACTAATCAAAAAAAAAGAAGAAGAAGAAGAAGAAGAATTAACGATCAAAAAAAAAAAAAATTGTTGATCAAAGTATCTATACAACATAAAATATGCAACTTCCCACCATTATAGATGCCAAGAAGAATTACTAATAGAAGCTTATATTAGTAATTTGGATAAGCAATGTTCGAAGGAATCCATCATTCAAATTACTAATATAAGCTTAGCACAACTTATGGAAGCAGACCATCCGCAAAGAAACCACCACTCTACCAGAAACTCCAAATTGGGACGGCAGCAGTATATATCAATAAATACCAAATATAAAGATCTCACTAGATTTTTTTTTTTTTTACTTTTATAAGATTCTAGAGGTCCTGTTCCATCTTTCAAATTGTGAAACACGGAATAACATGTCTTAGTTTACTAGAATCAAAACTTACTACATCATATAAACCCTATTGGATGACCATACAATCACTGAAAAATAAGAAGATCCCAGAAACCAATTCCTCGAAAAAAGCAATTGGGATGGACTAAAGAAAAAGTGCTACAATATTAGAACCAGGTGACATGAGAGGCAGGAAGAGAGGCCGGCACAAAATCTACAGACAAAACGAGATGAAGCGAGTACATCTATATGATTAGAGATGATTGGTGAATTAAGAGAAGCGAAGAACCTGTAAACGTTGAAGCAGCTGCTCCTTCGAGTAGCCCATTATCCTCTCTGCTGTTTTCTCTGTCTGCAACGTTTTGTTTGGCTTGGCCGGCCAGAAGCCCAGAACTGCAGAAGCGAGACTTCGTGACGTGAGATTGAGAAAATAAGGGGGCTGGGTTCTCAACTGGAATCGGTCCCAAGACTCGGACGGTTGACGACTTGCTGCTTAAGGCTGCAACTTGGGCCGGGTTGGCCCGAACCCAACCCTAACCCAATCCATTGGGTTGGATCGGGTCAGGTCGGGTTAATGTTCAGGTTAGGGTTGAAATTCATGAACTTGACTTTACTTTGGGTTGGGTTAGGATTGACCCCTTAACCAATCCCACTCTATAGTACATGGCATATACAAATATATGTTATATACAATATATAACATACATTGATTTGTTTAGATACACATATTTGTTAGTCCCCACCACATAGTATCATGTATTTCTTTTAAGACAATCAATTCACTTAGTCCTAATTAGAAAGACTAAAACCTTAATAACATTATTTTATGTTTTTTGAAAATTTTTATTCTATGAGGTTTTTGAAAAATTTATGTTTTATTGCAAGTCATAACTCACAATAAACTATAGTCATTTTTAACACTTTCTTTTCTGAATTTTGTACCAAAATAACAAATAAAAAACATCAACAAACAAATGCTAATGAAACATAGGATTAATATATGTAGTGAAAGTTAAATTAAGATCTACAATGGAGAAATTATATGAGGTTTTAAGGGATGGGAAGAAGGTTGGGTTGGGCCCAACCCGAGCCCAAATCCAACCCAAAATTGACTTTGAATTGGATTGGATTGGGTTAGGGTTGAAGGAATTTAGTTAGGATTAAGGTTAGGATTAGAGTTGGGTTTGTCAGGTTGAAGGCCGGGTTGGGTTAAGGTTAGGGTTGGGGGTTTATAACTGAGGGTTCGGCTAGGGTTGGCCTCAACCCGACCTAACCCGACCCGACTTACAGTCCTATTGCTGCTGCTGGGTTGTGCCAACTCGCAACTGGTTACAGTCGATATCGGTAAGCAAAGGTCAAACCCAAATATCTGATGACCGATGAGTGATGGCTTATTGGCTTTTAGGGTCGAAAACCGATGATGGTGTTAGGATGGCGAACAAGCTATGATACCGTGACTTTGGAATCTCTAGTGTAAAAATAACCGGTAGCTTGGAATCTGTGATCCGTAATATAGGATTGCAAATGAAATGCATCATCCAGCCCCAACGTCGCTGAAAGACAGAACAATGTTTACCGTTTTTCATGGATTCCAATTTCTGAAGCATCAGTTTTGTAACTTTTATCGCTGAAAGACAGAACAATGTTTACCGTTTTTCATGGATTCCAATTTCCGAAGCATCAGTTTTGTGACTTTTGTCTTCAAAGTTCTAGCATATCTTTTAGTGCACTGAATTTGGATGATAAATGTTGGCGTCGCTTTGAACAAATACATCATATATGCATGTATATATAGAATAGATAAATAGGATTAAAGCATATAATATATGATGTATAGATGTAATAATAATAGAACTGTAAATCAACATATATATGATGTATAAATGTAAGAGCAAATTCCTTAAAATACACATATGATTTAGATTTAGTTGATTGATTAACTCTACACAAAAGCTATGGCAATGAACAGGTCTAATAGTCAATAAACAACCTATATTTATATCTATATACTATATATAAAAGTGTGGATGCAAAGTAAAAGTTTTTTTGGACCAAAGTCACCCTCTATTTCTTTATTTGGGAAGAGGGCATAAAAGTCATTTTATTACAGCTTTAATGGCTATTAAAATGTCCATATTTGTGTATTTAGTCTACTTCTAATTGTAAGGGTTGAAAGTGTAATTTCAATTATTACTTTCCACTTCATTTAATCCCCTCTCATTGAGTTTTATATTTATTAACTCCCATTTTTTCTTATTATATCTTATATTTAAGTTATCTTTCACTAATAATTGATACTAATTAGATTTATGTCAATATTTTTAATAATATAAACCCATATACTTTAAAATTGACTCATCAAGGTGCCAACCAACTGGTTGGTAAGGTCTCTTATTCCTCATAGTAGAGACTTGGGATCGAATCCCACTTGCACTTGGGTTTAGGGTTATGGGTTAGGGGATGGGCTACCCCCATTGTGTATCTCTTCAAAAAATAAAAATAAAAAACAAAATCATTCTTTATCCATGTGGTGGCTAATCAATTCAACCATCTGAATCAAATTGATCAACCTATGAAGTCATGGTTAGGTAATAAGTTTTTAAAATATAAATAAATATAAAAAAAATTAAAGAAATGCAGAAAAAATACACATTTATCATATTTGTATTAATAAAATTAAAAAATAAGTGTAATAAATAAGAATTATTTTTAATGATAATTAAAATGAAATATATTTAGAATTGACAAAAAATGAAATTATGTTATTGTTTGACAAAGATCAATAGTTCAACTTTTGGGTCAAATGTGTTAACATTTAATGTCATAACTAAATAAATAAATATTAATAAAGAATAAAAATGAAAAAAATACATATTTGCAAGAAAATATTCAACTACATGTATAATATCATATATTTATCATATTAAACAAAAAGTAAGTGTGACATATCAGAATTATTTTTACACACAAAAAGAAAAACAAAAAAAATCATAGAAAAAAGTGAACACATCTATAATTAGGGCTGTTCATAAGAATGCCCAACCCGACCAAACCGACTAACCCGGACCGACCCAACCCGTCGGTTGGGTTTTCATCAGTACCGGTCGATTTTGGGTTGGGCAAATATATAAACCAATATATCGGGTCAGTTTCGGTTTTTTTGTGTGAAAATCAAAACCAACCCAACACGAATCGAAATAGTCTTCTACTATTTCAGTAGTTCCTAGTTTGAGTAGTTTCCTACTTAATTATAACTAGTTTTCTATTAGAACTAGAAGGCCCATTAGGCAATTACAATTAGAATAGGCAATCTATCATAGTTTTTAACTTTCTATAGTCTTTTATACCAAATAGGCAATCCATTAGGCAATTAGAATTCAATTAGGTGTTCTTTTGTACAGGAGCAAAACCAAAACTGACCCAAACCGACCAGATCGGTTTGGCCTATCAGTGGGTCGGTTTCGGTTTCCACCTCAAGTAACCCGACCAGGTCGGGTCGGTTGGGAAAACCCCAATAAACTGACCCAACCCGACCCGTGAACACCCCTATCTATAATTCTATATTTACATTACTATTAAAAATATGAATAAGATTGTGATGTTTAAATTGTAAATTGAACTATTTCACCTCATTCAATTTTCTTTATTTAAAATTTACAATTTTTTGATAAATAAATAAAAAATACACCAAAAAGATAAAACATTACAAAAAGAAAAGTCTAACTAAGCAAGTAGGCTTGTCAATAATACTTGAGACTTCATAACATGATCTGTTATCACATATTTGGATAATGTGTTTATATAATCAAATTTAGATTTTGCAATATGCATCCAATTAATAAAAAAACAAAAAATACATAATTTTATAGAAAATTTTGGATACATTATTATATCATTCTCATCATCTAGAATTATGCAAACCATATACGCACTTACTAGTATATTCAAAAGATGAGTGACACATAAATGTATATGCTGAAATTTCATGAGTGAAAAAAACTATTAAGGACATGATAAAAAATAAAGTCCTTTGTATGAACTCATACGATTTGGTCATGTGCATAGAAACCATCAACAACACTCAAAATAAGAAGCGACTTGTTGCAAGTTGAAGGGGTTAGGACTAGAGATAGACTAAAAATGGTGTGGGTATTTAGGTGCCAATAATTTTACAATGGATATGGCTTTCAATGGAACGGAATGGAAAGGATGAGGCTAGGATGACGATGACATTGGTGTTTGCTCACCTCTAATAAGCAAGCATATGTTGTTTGACGTATAGCCTCATTCATTTGTCAGTGGGCTGGGGTAAGTTGGTCAACCAGTTAATTGACCACAATACCCTCATTTGTTTCTGCTATAGGGTCTCATGAAAAATGAAATTAAGGCTCAGTTTGGAAGGAATACAAATGCAAATTTATAGAATGCAAAACCTTGTATTTTATATGTATTTGCACTGCATATATTTGTATTTGTACTCCTTCCAAACTGAGCTTAAAATACAAGAATATCAGTACCCAATACTCTCCTGCAACATAGGTAAACAACTTATCCATGGGCTACACGGCATCATGGGCGCTCTCTCCCTCTCACCTCTCTTTTACTTGGGTAAGTGTTAGCGCTAGAAACATGTTTACCAACCAAGTATAAACGAACAAGATCATAGAGGAGAGGAATGGGGAGGAACGAAACAGTGTTTTAAAAACCAAACCTAGAGCTTGAATCAATGGGCGTTCAATTGCATGGGTTAATCAGATGGATCGGTTTTTTATAAGTAGTGCGTTGTAGGTTGACCCAATTATAATATTTTTAACATGTAATTTGACAATAAACCTACTAGGCTACTTCGTTTAGACATCAAAACATGATAATTTGACAAGTATGTCATGAGAAATGGGCCTATATCTTAGGCCCAATAGCCTTGCGTCAACCTAGACCAATTTAGGCTATCTTATTCCCATGATCCCATCTTAGCCCGAGACTAGCTAGTAGCGTGCTCAAGAATTGGTAGCTCTATAGTCTATACATTTGAATCCCTTCAAATTTCAAAATGTCAACCATTTTTTTTATATATAATCGGATAATTCTTCCCCATTTTGTCAAAGGAAACTTTGTAAAATCTCCCCATTTCAGTAGTCTATTCTTCAATCACTTAAGTATTTGAGCTTGAAGCTGTTGCCACACACCAGCGAGAAAAAATAGCGCAAGGGAAACTGAATTTGAAAGAATCCTAAAGTCAATGTCCCCATAAAAAAATTAGGAATTTTGTTCATTAGTTGGTCTGAACCATCAACGGACGACAACTTATCTGCTTATGTTCTTTCCTCTTCCTTTCCTTTTCCTGTGTTCTTTATTTATCTTTTCTTCTTGTATCAAAATTTGAAAAGTTGTAATTTGACCCTTTTTTCCTTTCTCATTGATAGAGAGTTCTTGTGTTGAGAAAGAAAACCAACACAAATTAAGCATTTATTTTCATTAACACGCTTATTTATGTTCCCCATTTATTTTCAGTGTTACATGGAATATCCTGCCACTTGGTAGATTCTTGGGAGAAACAGAAACTTGATTTTTCCTCTTTTTCTTTGCTTATTAAGCATCAACTAAAACCCAGACATGCATCAGATTTTGATTCCCTTGTCCGTGTCCAAGCAACACAACTTAGTTGTAAAGTTGACTGAGAAGAGAATAGTTTTTTTTTTCTTTTCTTTCTGTGATACTGGTGGAAAAAGAGAAGAAAGGATTGGAACTGGTCTCCATTGATCTATAGCTATATGTGTTGGAGGGAATTTCCCAGATTCGGGCATAGTAAATGAAGACAAAGTGGACTGATACTCTCTTTGTATTGTTTGCTTGATGCCTTCATAAAGTATTCACGGGAAGTAGACCCTAGTTTGTTGTTTCCTCTCTAATAACAATAAACTTTGTCTCTTGGGAAACTCAGAGCGATGCAGAATAGATGTTGGACATTATCACAAAAGTGGGCTCAAATATCAAAATTGCAATTGGATTCACTGTTCACATGATGAGAAATCCAATAATCTCACGAGAAGTGGAGCTTATATATCCATGTTAAACAACAAACTTTGACAATACAAATCAACCAGGTTTCTCATGGACTTTGTAGAGCACCAAAGGAGTCGGTAGCAATCAATATTTTTTTGACTTCATGAATCAATCAACATTTATTTATGGGAGAATGTCTTTGAAGACTGGTTCAGAGATCGAGAGGGAAAATGCAGTTCGCTACATAAAGAGAGAGGGTTCCATGACTCTAATATCTTTTTTCCTATTTAAGGTCTACAGCAGACCGATAAACCGGAGTCTGGATTTGCTACCCAAAAGGAGCCCTGATCTCCTGAAAGCAAAAACTCCAAGAACATAGAATCCGGCCGCACATAGGCAATACCCATACGTGTACATTCATGGGGAGCAATGTTTCCAATGTGCAGTTGAATGCCCATGCTTGCAGAGTATGTGTAGAATTTTTGTTTTCAGGAGATCCCATCACACCCATAAGACACCATTAGGAACAATTGCCATGAATGACAACAACAAGCATGAGAGATATTCCTGATGTGCGGCTGTAGCATCTTGTGGGTAGCAACTTGTTGGAAGCATTTAGAAACCAACTTAAATGGGCCTCATCTAGGGCCTTGGATAAGGGCATTCCTTGACCAGGCCCAAATAATTTTGTGTTGGGGCTTGATCAGGATCCAATCTATTAATTGGGAAGAATACAAATGTGACCCCAGTCATGCCTGTACCTATCTTTTATAGCAAATTGACACCTCTACACCCATCATGGTGATGCTTTCAGAAAGCCACTGCTTAAGCCTGTGAAGCTACAATATATCTCAACCAAGCAATGAAAGGCATCCGAGGTAGAAAACTTGGACTTCTCATGTGCCCACTTAATAGAAATGGTAAGATTATTCATCAATCATACACAACCACAGCATGCCATTGACATCAATATCTTCTTTATTGGTAAATTTATCACAAGTAGAAGAATCACTGTTGTGGGTGCATTGTAAAGAAAACATCAAAATAAACAAACTTAATGGTTATTACTTGTTTAGGTTATGGCCTCTGACAATCAGCCCATCTCTGTTCCATTCTGGTGAGACCGCGACGTGATGTGGGCTCGCCTAGAAGATCATGGAGATTCCATATTTTGGGCCCTTTGTGCCACATTCTCAGCCATGAGACCTAAGTTCCCAAACCCATACCTTAATTTACTTGGAACAAGATTGGCATTTTGGACAACACATTAAAAAAGACAAATGGGACTGTACTCCACCAAACACATGCATTGAATGTGAAGATCATAGTAGAAATCTACTAGTCTTTTTTTCTGACACTTGGGTCAAAAATTGGTCAATAGGGTCACCAATCACTCAAAGCATCTCCTGAACAGGAGAAGGCCTTGGAGAAACTGGGAATGTCCCTGTAAGCTTGTGGATCAAAACCAAATCATTTTTATTGTGAGCAAATCTTCATCCACAAGAAAATAAAGTGTTTTGGTGAGCCTGTATTCTGTAGCCAGCTTTGAGTATTGGTTACACTGATGAGCATCTACTGATGGCACCCACAATTTCTGGATAGAAAGCTGAAAAGGATGGTCTTGGGGACCCTAAGTCAGCCAGTGAGCCCTACCCATTATGCCTTCATAGGTAGAAGATCAACCTATTCTAACTAGCCTGGTTAAGTAGCCATCAAACCATTGGAATTGTTTATAAGACAAAATGGTATAGATTGGATTGTTCCAATCATCTGGTCACTTTGAACCTTGAACCAGGGAAATCTCCTAGGCATGGATGTAGATGTAGACCCTAAACCAAAGTAGCATTCTTGTGCCTTCAAATTAAAAAAAAAAGAAGAAAAATGTAGACCATCATTTCCATCTAAAGTAGTAAGACTTAATACAATTGAATTGGCAAGAAGGAATGGGAGATGAATTCTTCTTCCCCTCTTATTCCAGTACATGAAATAAACTTGAATGAAATCCCCGGTAACTACAAGAGTTTCTGACAGTTTATATTTTATACATCAATATGTAGGAACAGTAGAGACCAAAAAACGTTGTCCCATTGTGAACTTCTCCTCCTAGTTGACATAGACTAAAGAACTACATAGAAGAAAGTTGTCACTCGTCAGTAATGTATCAAAACGAGAAATTATGAACCATGAAGAAGACCAATGGAGGTTGGTTTGGAATTGGGTATTGTTTAGCAGAAGCTCCACAGACGAATATCACCTTCTTCATAGAATTCTTCGATTGCAGGAGGAGAAAACGAGGTTCCAGGACAGAACATTTGGCAAGAATACCTGGGTGATTGTGGGTCAATGAAGTCCATCCATGAAAACGAATCAATCGCACGTAGCTGTTCTTCAGCTTCATACATATTGTAACCTGCTGAGCCTGAGAACAAGGAGACGTCCTCGTCATTGTGATCAGAGGACGAAGAGGAGGGCGACGGCGATGGCGACGGTGTGGAGGAGGGAGGCGGAGGCGGAGGCGATGATGGGGTGGTAGGAGTGGTGACACTATCCAAAGTAGTATTATTGGCAGCTGCAGCTGCAACTCTTTGAATGGATTTGGGGGACATAATGGTGTCGGGGATGTAATGTGAGGAAGAGATTGGGAAGTTGAGGTTGGCTGAAGAACCCTTGAGACATAACAGTGCAGCATCGTAGGCTCTTGCAGCTGCTTCTGGCGTAGAATAAGAGCCGAGCCATATCCTTGTCTTCTGATTGGGTGCTCTGATTTCAGACACCCATGACCCCCAGCTCCTCATCCTCACACCCTTGTACTTCCTTTTCTTATTACATGAAGATGGAGATGGCGTCGGTTTGGATTGCTCGGATTGTATCTTCTCCTCAGTCTTCACCATTGCCGGCTGGGTCGATCAACAAATGGACGATCAAGATAGTTGAAGTGGACGGATAGATGGATCGACGAGTGGCCTGCTGCTGCTGGTTGTGGTGTTGATTTGTCCTTTTTTTTCTTTGTCTCTCTTCTGGATCTTCTGTTTCTTCTGCTTTGAATGTGATAAGAGGGAATGAGATATTAGGTGAATATGTGAGGGAGTAAGAGCTCTGGATGGTTATTTATAGGTAGAGGGCTCATCTTGATTTTTTTTTTTTTACAAATAATACGAAATGGGTTTTGATATTTTAATGGTTTTAACTTAAAATGGGAATGCAGAAAAATTGTAAAATAATTTGACAAAAAAAGCTGCTAAGACTAAAATAGATGGACTGCCCTTCACCTTGGCCAAAATTAATAATATTTTGCTCTAAATATAGTCTAGAAATCTTTTCTGCTTATTTAGGAAAAATGGGTCCCAACCCCTTTTGATCTTAGCCGTCTGATCAATTCAATTCCCCTTCAATTGGGTAGCATCATTTGATCCAAAGGCTGTAGATTTTGAATATCAATGTGTGTAATTAACTTCCAGGCAAGGCAATCGAGTTTGGCAGTCTGGATCCCATGTGCACCCATGAAGCATATCAATAAAGAAAGCTTTTGTTCTAGGGCCCTCTGTGACTTACATTACAAGACACCCTTTTTGACAGAGGATATTAATTGACCCAAAATGGAGAAGAAATGGGAGCATATGAACACAGAATTTGAGGGCAAATGGGTCAATCGGCAACATAAAATTTTGTTTAAATCCAGTTAAAAAAAAAAGCTTTGGAAGGGGTGAATGAAATCATCGGATTCTCTGAGGCAGCTTCGAGGATTTTGCTTGCAGAAGAGAGGGAGGGAGTACATTAGATGCTAAGAGCATATTGGGATACACACAGCACAGAGCACACGGACACACACGCTCCATTCCTTAGCTGTTGCACCACTGTCTCGCAGCTCCAAAACCGCGTCATGACTCGTGCCCCTCGGCATTATTTTAAGACTCCCCCTACAGTTGGTGGGTTGGGTTGGGATCTCGTCTCTTACGCCTGCATTACTTGACTTTTGCCCTTTTCTCTCTCTCTCTGATGGGCAGTTCAGCTACTAGAAAAGCCCCTCATTTTTAAAGGATTATGATGTAATGAAGGGGGGGGGCCCTCAGATGAGATGTCACTCTTTTCTAGCCAAATGGGGAATGTAATTAGCCTGTTAAATACCAATCCAATGCTTGAAAGCGGCCTCTCACGTGAGGGTGCCCCCAGCGAATCAAAACCCTTTAATAATTTTTTTTTTCAATATTTTACAATTAGGGTCTCAATTTTTAAATAACGAACCTTTTGAGACACTTGATTTGATTCTTTAGTACTTGGGTCTCATGCTGCCTTTGTAACTTGTACAACTAAACCAGACATGCAAACTCTTGTGCTTTTCACTTTTAAGAATGAGTCTGCTTCCGCCATCCATTTCTAGCTCATCACTTAGACTTTTTGGGTGTGAGGAACCAAGGGCTTGTTCTACTTTCTTCCTTCTTGTCTTCCTTCTCTAGACACACTGTCAGCAAACACCTGGCACACATGCAAATGTATTGGTGCTTACTCCATTTGATGGGATGTGTCTAAATAATCTCCTCTGATGATCATCTAACCATCTTATTTATTAGTCCGGTTTATTGACCTTTTCTTTAGCAAATTTACGCGTTCTCTAGAGATTAGAGGCCAATCACACAAAAAGAGAAACCTGGTAGTTGCTGCAACTTGCAAAGGTGTTAAGCAAAAGCATTTGCATACTGTTACTGCATTATCATTTGGTTACAATTTACAAGTTTCTGTGAGGAAAAGATCAAAATGCTCTCACTTTATAATGAAAAAGGTTTGAAGAGTCATCACTCATCAGTGGGGCTTTTCCTTTTTGTCTTTTGATTTCATATTCTTCCTACATGCATGCATTTTGGGATGTCAAGTGGGTCGGTTTAAGTGATACTAAACAGACCCTATTGAATTAGGGTTGGGTCAGCCTATTTTAATCATCTTTCGGGTCAGCTTCAGGTTTGGGTTGGGGTAAATGTGTGCTAAACCTGATTTTTTTTGGGTACTTGGCATAATACACTAACTTTATCAACTTGGTGCTAATAGCGGGATTTGAATCCGCGTCTTTACTTACTGGGATAACCCAGCTAATATGTCAATCGAGCCTCCACTCGGTGTAGCATTGAAATATTTTGTAAATATAAGCTTCTTTGAGTAGGTGTACTATATATATGGGACAGGGTAGGTTGGGTTTAATATCTCCCTACCTGGATTGGATTAAGGTTGGATTGAGGCAAACCCCTAACAAACTTGACCGATTTACATCCCTACATGCATTAACAATAATGAATTCGGATTCAATCCTCACTAGACCATACTTACACCCTCCTCACGGTCACTTACAGCTGTGCATTGAAAATATCTTCCATAAATAAAAAAAATATACAATTACAAATGACTGCAAATATGATATAAGCACTGTCTTATGAGTACTGAATCTGATGTCAACAATAATACCAAGAAATTCAACCGAACCCAACTCAAATGGTTGGACCAGAAACTAGCTAGCTACAAGCCCACAATCTCTTTTCTTGGCTGATGAACTCCATTTTAATTAGGCAAATGGTGGTCTAATGCCAAGCCTTGTTTTTATTAATTCTGGCAATGGCTCGAAACAAGTCATAGCTTCTCTGCAATAGTTGCTTTCTGTTCCATTGAAGGGTTCGTTTCCCTCACCCATTAGGTGGTGAAAAACTCAAAACTTTTCAGTTATCTTTAGTAGTGAGAAAGCAAGTGATATTAATAGTTGAAAGAAAAGATAAAGAGGTGCGCTTTGTTTAGATTTCTGCGTGCGCTCTCTCTGGTAAACTGATTGAAACTAGTTGCCTCAATTATGGCATCCTTTATCTTGAATGTTTATGTTTGTATTTCTGTAAAGGGTTGGAGCCGGTAGATTGGTTTTGCCCTAAAACACTGTTGGCTGTAGAACATGGCAGAAAGATTTATAACCAGAGGAGAATTTATTGCCTTCAGAACAAAGGAACATATACCAAATAGATAGATGTATATCTCAGAACCACCATTACCATCTGAAACCTCGTTTAGGTAGCTGGTTTCGGTCAAATGCAGTCAAAGAACAAAGTAACCTTGATAGCAATACATATAATTAAACTAGAAAAATTATTATTTGAGTCGGTGAATTTAGATTAACAGAGAGAGAAGCCTTTCCTAAAGGGAGTACTGTTGCAAGATTAGGCTCAACAAGATGCAGGGTATACTATTGAAGTTCTGATTGTTGAACAAGTTCTAGAATCCAATTAGAACGAAAATTAGTCAAAAAATATATATTTTTTAAGCTAGAGTTGGGTCAGGAAGAGCACATCAAATAACTTCAATCCATTGTTGCTGTCTTAAAATGTAACATTTTCAGTAGTTCTTTACGCAGTAAAAAGACCAATCTGCATCACCATAAATTTGCTTCAAGCTGTAACATTGGAATGCACATGGTGCGACATTTAACAGCACTATATCCTTTTTAGGGCCCGTTTGGTTTATGGGAATAAAGGTCTGGAATCAGAACTGGAATTCTAATTGTTTGGTTGGGTGGAATTAAATTCTATTCCCATTTCTGATGAAGTGACATCTCCCATTTGAAAGAATGGTCATTAACTTCTTCTTCCTCCTCTCTTAGAAATGAAATCTCATTTCAGACTTTCAGTTAATTTCAATTTCCATTCCAATTCCTATCTAAACTAAACTGACTATAAAAATAGACCGTGCTGATTTTAATCCCGATTTAGATAGATTTTAATTCCTATTCCGATTCCGACCATGGACCCTTTTAATTCCTATTCCGATTTTAAGAAAAGGGTTTTTCACTTCTTGTGCTCTAGAATTTACAGCTTCGTTTTATTAGGCAAGATTCTTTCCTTTGATTACAGAAAAAAAAAAAAGTAAAAATAAAAGGAAGTTGCTTTGCCAGTTTCCTCTATATTAACCAACACATGGCACATTAAGATTATAATGCGGCTGCCAGACAAATCTTTCAGTAGAGCTGGAAAAAAATAGGCACGCCTTGAACAATTGTCTCAGTTGGATTAATTTTGACCCAGCTGACGCTCTCCTGAGAAGCCCTATTGACCCTCTTCATTACGCCATCTGTTCTCCATAAGACCAGTCAGAACACTTCACACCTACTTTAGCCTTCTTCATTTAATTCAATAATTTTATAATCTGAACTCTTACAGCAATTAAAAAAAGAAAAGCTAATACTGTATTTTGCTTCATAGATTTCTCCATTGAGCATGTGCAGTGGGAACAGTGTCGTCAATCCTCTCTTTCCTTTCCTTTCACACACCAGAGTTGGAAAATATCAAAATCACTGTTGAGAATCTCTAGAGATTAAAGAATTAATTTGGCTTAAAATTAATTAACCCTTATTATAATCTCAGGTAGCTGCCGCCATGCTTCATAGACATATATTATAAGGATTTTAACATGTTCGAGTCTCTCCTCTCTGCCTTTCATTTGCTTTGTTTTCACCATTATTGAAACTTAGGATCTGCTAATAGAATTATAAAATTATTATAAACTCTTTAGTGAAAAATAAAGGTTTCTTGATATAGGAGTTATAATATGCCATTGCCCTAATTTTAATTGCAACTTTTGAGGTTTAATCCCAGCTTACCCACCAAAAGAAGAAGGATTATTTAATATACAGATATAAAATGTTGTTACATGAATAACAATTAAAAAACCATGTAATATTGCCTTAAAATATCAATATTATTAGAAGCTGTCCAGACCTAGAGAGTAGAGACCCCTAGGACCTGGGGTTCACAATCTGGTTCAAATGGTTCGATCCATATGGAAAATATAATTAATGGATTGTAAAGAGGGGTAGTTTGTTGGGTCAACCAAGGCTGGGACGACAATGGGTTTGAAGATGGGCCAAACTAGAACCTGATTTTAAGGGGATTAATGTAAGGAGACCAACACCTAGAGAACTGGGATGAGTGATCAACTGATGAAGAATCACAATCTCCTGCCACCAATTCTATATCTAGCTCAATCAGACTACATTTTATGTGCAACCTTTGGACGGGGTTTGCCCCCAAAACCTGAGCTACCAAACAAAGAACAATGTTAGGTCACATGACCAAA